GAGGGAGTAGAAGGAGCGGAGGAGGGAGAAAGAAGAAATTACAGAAGGGGCAGATGAGGGATTGAGGGGATGAAACGTAGGTAGAAGGGAGGATAAGGGGAGAGGAGGGAGAGGGGGAGAGGGGGGGATAGGGCAGAAATGGAGGATTTTCAAGGAGGTTGGGGCTGAAGGGAGCAAGAGGAAAACGTAAGGAAGAAAGGAGAAATGGACTGAGGACAAAGCAAAAGGAGGAGGAAAAAAGGACGGGAGGAAGAAGGATGAGGGGGGGGAGGGGAAGCGATGCAGGGGGGAGAAGGAGTCACGAAGGACCTTGGGTTTTCCTCCAACGTGAATGATTCTCGTGTAACAATTGGGCTCGCAGGAGTGATTGATGTAGCTGAGATGCGAGTGAGAGGTAGATGGACTGAGAGGAGGCAGGGGAAGGAGGCAGGAGGCAGGAGGCAGGAGGCAGGAGGCAGGAGGGAGGAAAGGGGGCAGGAGGCAGGCAGCAAACAAGGGGAAGGAGGGAGGAGGCAGGAGGCAGGAGGGAGGAGGGAGGAGGGAGGAGGGAGGAGGGAGGGGTACCGGGCCCGAGATCCGCAGTGAGTAGCATCGATAACTTGTGACTTGCTGACTCGGAACATGTAGGAGGAGCCCATGCCGCTCCTCTCGTACATCTTCTCTCTCTTCTCGCACACCTGTAAGAGCACGTCAGATAACGAGCAGCAGGATCAGGAGGAGCGGGAGCAGGAGCAGGAGCAGGAGCAGGAGCAGGAGCAGGATCAGGACGAGCAGGAGGAGGAGAAGCAGGAGGAGCATGAGCAGGAGCAGGAGCAGGAGGAAGAAGGAACAGCAGGAGCGTCAACAGGAGGGCAGAAGGACGAACAGCAAGAGCAGCAGCAGCAGCAGAAGCAGAAGCAGCAGCAGCAGCAGGTCCTTTCCTTGTTCGAGATCAACTCTCCCTTGTACTCGATCACCATCTCCTCGGGCTCGATCACCTCGTCTGCGTACAACCCCCATCCTGCATGCAGACTTGTAAGCTTGTGCAATCCCTCCTCCCAACCTTGCCCGTCTGCTCTCCTGCCCTCCTCATTCTCCCTCCCTCCTCACTCTTCCTCGAGCCTCCGTTTTTCTTCTCCTATCGTCTATCCTCCTCTCCTCCTCTCCTCCTCTCCTCCTCTCCTCCTCTCCTCCTCTCTCCAACCTTCTCCCTTTGCTCCTTCCTCCTCTCATCTCTCCTCCTCCTCTACCATGGATCGCGCTCTTGCGGAAGGAGAGCCTCTTCACGCGGGACTTGAGCTGGTCGAACCGGAACGCATCGCTGCTGATCGAGCTCGTGACAGTCGCCTGCTTCCTCGTTGCTCGTCTGTTCGCTCTCTCCCACGACGACCCTTGCTTCCCATGCACCTGATACATCTCCTCCTCCTGCACCTTCACCGGCTCCTTGCTGCGAGACAGCGGGTGATTAAACTGCAGATACTTCACTTTAGTCTCCCATGGAATTGGCCGGTACCCCATCGCCCGCTGGCAACCTTCCTCGCTCGCTCCCCCATCCTCCGCGTGCCCCGGCCTCTTCCTCCTCTCCTCCTCTCCCGCCTGCTTCTTGACTAGCCTCCTCCTCATCACCAGGGAGCAAGGGACTTTTCTCTCCTGCGCTTGCTGCACGAAGAATATGTGGTAGGAGCCGTCCTTGAACACGTCCAGCACCAGAGCTTGCAAACGTCTCCCGTCCTCTCCCTTCACGTCCACCTCGCTGCCCTTGGGGTACCGCACGTCAGCAGGGCGGACGACGGAGAAGGGGGGCAGCGAGCATGGCTCCGCCCACTGTAGCCGCAAGTCCCCGTTACCCTCGAAGCAGGCCACCACTCCATGCTGGAAAGACCCGTCCTCCCTCCTTGCGCTGACCTCGTTCCCGACCTTGATGTCGATGTGCCGGAAGCTCTGTCCCCTGTCCTCCAGCGCCTCCCTGCTCCTCCTCCCCCTTCCCTGCCCCACGAGAGGGAGAGCATTCAGAGGGTCTCCAGGAAGCCGCACCTCGGGCAGACAGCCCGCAGCCTCCTGCTCCTGTGGACAGCTATCCTTGTTCGACTTCCTTTTCTTGGACGGTCGGAAAGTAGCCGCCGGTTCGACCTGCTCCATCTTCTTCTCCTTCTTCATCCTTTTGGTTTCTACCTTGCCCGCATCCTTCGAAGCTGGAGGAGGAGGAGGAGACAGAGGGGGAGGAACAGCGGCGGCGGCGGCGGCAGCAGCAGCATCTTGTCTGTCCGTCTTCTTGACTTCCCAGAGAGGGAGATCATCACCTGAGCTCTCGTAGATCGCTTTATTTCCCGCCCCTCCCCCTCCTGTCGCTGACTTGACCGCTAGCGTCGAGCTCGATGACTTCTTCGACTTCCTCCTGCTGCAAGCCGGCACACCATCTCGTCGCTCCTCCTCCACTTCCTCCTCGCCCTGCGCTCTCCTCTTTGCCGGAACTCTGGCCACCTTCTCCGCCTCCTCCTCCTTCTCCAGTTGCGCAGATTTCCTCTGTTTTCCCTCTTCTTTTGCCCATTTTTCTGATCTTTCTTGCTTATTCCCGTTCTTTTGCACTTTCTTCGGATTTTTGCGCTCGCGTGATTCCTTCCTCGCCTTATCCTCCTCTTTTTCCTTCTCCTCATCTATCTTGCCGCCCCTCTTCTCCTCCTGTACTGTAGCAGTCCACTTCCCCTTGCCCTTGCCCTTGTTCTTCCCTTTGCCATTCTCCCTGTGGTCCGCCCCCTGCTTCTCCTTTCCCTTGCCCTCCTCCTTCTTCTCCTTCTCCTCCTTCTTCTCATTCTCGTTTTTCTTGCCACGTACTTTCTCTTTTTCGTGCTCCTTCTGCTTTCCCTCCTGTTTGTCTCGCTTTCGCTCTTTCTCGATATCCTTCTTCCTCACTTTATCTTTCTCATTCTCTGCCTCTTTCTCCATTCCTCTCTGCTTCCCGTCCTCCTTGTGTTTAAAAACATCTTTCTCCTTCCTGTGCTCTGTTTCTCCATCTTTCTGCTCTTTGCTCGTGTTCCTCCCTTTTTTCTCTCCCTTCAACTCCTTCTTCTCCTTCCCCTCCCCCTTCTCCTCTCCTCCTCTCTTGTCTTTCTCGCCTCCATCTTGCACCTTCGCACAACCGTCCTCCTTCCTCGCACGCGACCTCTCATCCTCCTCCCTTCCAGCGTGTCCTACACATCTCACACCTTCCACCGCCCTCGGCTCCCGCAGCTCCTGCTGGACGTGCGACGTCTCCTCGACCCTCTTCTTGCTCGCATCATGAGCAGGCAAGTCCGATGTTCTCCTCCCTCCTCCAGTAGCTGAACCAACAGGATTGCCCGACGCCGTCCAAGAATCCTTCGTAAGCTCCTCCATGCGCCTTTGCGTTCGACTTTCCCCGGGCGCACAAGGAGCCGGTGCTGCGTCCTGCCCCTGACAAGTCTCAACCCTCAGGAAAATGACGTCATCAGTAGCATCCTGCCCTGGCTCCTCTTGACCACCAGTCGAGCTGCACTGCCCTGCTCCGTCCTCTTCAGATCGAGCAAGGATCGAAGATTCCGGGGTCTTTCCATGGTCCGGAGTTCCAATCTCTGCTCGCCCATCCTCGTTGTTGACTGCGCTAACGTTCTCCACCTCATGCGTCACGGTCTTTGAAAACAACCTCGCTCTCCTCGGAATGCTTCCTGGCAGGCTCGACGCCGCTCCAGTCGCGCGATCACTTTGTGAGCTTGATCGCACTGAGCCGACTCTCTTCACATCTGACAGAGTTGTCGTGACAGCAGTCCTTTCTGTGGACAGGTTCGGAGGTTCAGCGACAAAAAGCTTCTGACGGGGATCTTTCCCTCCTCCTTCCGATGGCTCCGGCTGATCAGAACCCCCCTGTCAAGAATGCCTCTCAGCACAGAGCAGGAAAGGCAATCACAGAAGATCCTCACAGCACAATCTCTCTCCCTCCCCTTTGCAAGTTGCATGCTGCCATCCTCCTTCGTCGCAGTGGGAGGACAGGAGGCGCAGTCGGTCTGTATCATGCAGGATGATCTTTCAGCAGGGAAAGGTCTGTGGTCATCAAGTGAGATTGAGAGTCAAAAGTCAAAAACTTCAAGAACCGTTCTGACGGGTGTGGTCGATCGTCCGGAATCCCTCCAGGAATGTCGCCGGCACGTTTCACTCCGGTATCGGAGTGATGTACATGCTGTTGGTGATGGTGATGATGGTTACGTAGTTGTGGTTGTTGTGGTTGTGGTTGTTGTTGTTGTGGTTGTTGATGATGATGATGATGATGATGTTGTTGTTGTTGTTGATGATGATGATGATGATGATGATGATGCAGTGATGTTTGTGGATACTGGTGCTGATTGTGATGATGGCGATTATTGCCACGGTGCTCATCGCGATTTCCATGGTCTGCATGACGTTCTTCGTTCCTGACACGATCTCTCCGATACCGACTAACTTCCTCGTATCCATGAGAGTATCGATCGTCTCTGTCATGGAAACCTTCACGACTTCCGCTCCGATGATGGTGGTGCCCATAACGATGAATATCTCCATAGCTCCTGCTATGTCCCCTGACATGTTCACGGCCTCTTTCACGCTCTGTGTAGCGCTCGCCGTGTCTTTGACCATCTCTGCAACGTTCGAGTCATTCAACAACCACCCTTGCCCGCTCCAGGTTCCTACCGGCCCTCCGAGCGCCTCCGCTCCGCATGCTCCCGACCGTCCAGCTCTCGGTCGCGGGGCATCTGAGCTCTAGGTTGAGAATCGCTGTAACTAACAGAGCATCGCCCACCTTCGCATGCTGGTCATGGCGTCGACCATCGGACAGGAAGGAGCAGCTCTGTTCAAACATGCATGACGACGGGAGTGTGAAGTCATGGACATGGCCCACCCTTTCATAGTTGCGCTCTTCAACGCCCAACTCCCTGCTGTACCTCTCAGCGCTGCTGCCTCTGTTCACGATGCAACGGCCAGTGTTCTTGTGCTACACATCGCTTCATCACGATCGTTGCGAGCAGACGAGTCGCAAACCTGTTGAGAGTGACGCCAAGAATCGTCTCTGTCGGGGTATCGCCGATCATCTGGTCGATGACATCCTGCCACATGCTGCTCTCTGTGCGCAGACCCGACGAGGTCATTCTTCGCTCGTTCAAACCTCCACCAACCATCTGCACACGAAAAACTTCATCAACTCTCCTCTCCCCTCCCTTCTCCTCCCCTCCTCCGCCTTGCTCTCCTCTCCTCTCCTCTCCTCTCCTCTCCTCTCCTCTCCCTTCCCATCCCATCCTCTCCGACTGGTAGCTTCAGAGTTCAGACGTCACCTTGCGAGGAACTCTCATGGTGAAATCTGCCAAAGCGCATCAGTCGCCATCCTCCTCGTCCTACTCCACTCGGCTGAACCTGTTCAAGGGTCGATCGGGTTGCGCCCTTTGGCCCTCTTGCTCGCCTTCCCTTCGACGAGTTGAGACGTCGTCAGGGCGAGGCCGCTTGCGAGAGCTCTCATGATCGTGACTGCCACTACCCAACATCACTCGCAGCTTCCTTGAGGCCAGAGCATGCCGTCACTCACTTCCTGCTGTCTCGATCGCTCTTTCCTTCCCCCCACCTTCGCTGACCATGGTTCTCGCTATGGTTGCAACCGTGCTGAGGGAAGCGATCAGGGAAGGGCAGAGGAGGATACTTCCCTCCTACTTACATTCTCGTTCGACTTGACCTGCCCGCTCGCACCTCCCTGAGGATCTGAGCAGAAATACGACTTGATCCGGCTGCTGATTTGGACGACTGCCTGTATCCTGCCTTCGCTCCCTTTGAGTGAGATAACTCAGTCACTGCATGCTGGAAATCATTCGTCGTCGTTACCTACGAAAGATTTCTTGATGATCGCGTCTGCAAACTTTTGATTGTCTCGGAAAATCTTCTCCAAATGGAACTGAGGGGTTGTAAATGTCAGCTGGGTATCGTCATCAGCACAGCAAGAAGCATGAACAACCAGGTCATCTTTCTCGAAGTCGCTCTTCTTAAGCTGATAACCCTCGAGCAAGCTGTGCAGAGAGTCTCTGCATGGCGGCATATCAGCCTTCCGCCGTTCCGATCCCCCCTGCGAGCATAGCGCGGATTCCATAATCTTCTCCTCAACTCAGGGCCATGTGCCCAGAAGCTCCAAGGATCGGCCAGCAAGCTTCAACCATGTTCGCTTCCTCCTTCGAGCCGCATAGGAGGAGCGAACGCTCCGTCGTAACCTCCCCCCTTGTCCGCCATTGCGTCGACCCACAACCCGTCAGAGCATGCCCACGCCCAACCACTACCCCCGCCCTCCACCACCCCACCCATTCTCGGACAACCACCCCTGGTAAGGGCACTTTGAAAAATCTTTCCACGAGGGGTGTGTATTTGTGCTGAAGGGGTAGGGTGGGGGTAGTCATAATGCGATATAACGGTAATAACGGCTTTAATAACAACTGCCTGGAAAGTGTAACGGTGCAGGTGTTCTCGTTACAAATTGAGTAACGGTTCTTTTTTGGGATGGTTTGTAGGGGGAGGAGGGCCAGGGAGGAGCGAAAGACACGCGGCACGCGCGCATGCGGCCGATCCTGTTGAAGGGGCACAAGGGGCCGCTGACATGCGTGAAGTACAACAAGGATGGCGATCTCCTCTTCACCACATGCAGAAGAGGAGGCGTGAACCTGTGGTACAGTGACGATGGGGAGAGGATCGGCACGTACAACAACCATAATGGTGCCGTCATGTACGTCGACGTCAACTGTGAGTACCTTCATACGGAGGGGGCGCTGCGTTCAGGGCGTGTGCAGCTGTAGTGTTGATATGAGGGCATGTAGAAAGTTGCCCGAAGGGTGTGATCGTGTTGTGCCCATAATTGCATGCACAGTATATGGCTCATGTGCAGCTCAACAAAAATGTGACGTGGCAGGGCACGACATTGAAGCTGTTGTTGGTTGCAAAAGATGTTGACTCTAGCAGCAAACATATCTTTTGAATGACGGTGTTTTGCACATTTGTTTGATGCTGTGATTTTTATGGGCGCAAACGCATGACAAACGTGAAAGATGCAATTCCACAGAAAACCTTTTGTTTGTTGTAGTAGGAGAGGCGACGATCAGTTATTAGTATGTGACTTTCCATGTCAGTTGCTTGCACTCGTCTTGCCACAGCATCTATGGACGCCACAGCTCGTATCTGGGATGTAGAGACTGGCAAAGTCCTGCGCGAGTTCAAGACCCAAGCAGGAAACCGCTGCGCGAGCTTCGCAACGGGAGATAAGCGACTTGCAGTCCTCACTGACCCATGGGGCGATCAGCCGTGCTGCATTCAGATCTTTGACACGGAGAGCGGCGACAGCCCTGTGATGAGAATACCGATGGATGTTGGTGTCGCCAAGGCCACGAGGGCTCTGTGGGGCCCTCTCAACAAGAAGATTCTTGTCAGCAACGAAGCTGGTGGAATCCTTTCCTATGAGGCAGCGACCGGTGAATGCTTGATCGAGCGCTGCGACTTCGAGCAGGAGATCCCAGACTTCACCTACTCTCAAGACATGATGACTTTCATTGTTGCCTCCAAGGATCATACTGCGATGGTGCGTTGAAGTGGACCTCTGAACCTGCCCTGACGATGTTTGCTTCCAGTTGTACGATACAAACACGTTGGAGCCGATCAGGAAGTATGTCAGTGATAGGCCCATCAACAGTGCAGCCATCTCTCCCCTCATGGACCATGTACAACCATCAAGCATGCAGTGGGTGTTTTTCCTGACGTATGGGTGCCAGGTTGTTATCGGTGGTGGTCAGGATGCTTCTGCGGTTACCACGACAGCCGGACGCTCTGGAAGATTCCAGGTTCGACGTCAGCAGGGAACTCCGTGTTGTAACACTCTGATCGCAGGCGCTCTTCTACCACAAAATCTTTGAGAACGAGATCGGCAGCGTTCAGGGTCACTTCGGCCCCATCAACTCGCTGGCCTTCAACCCTGACGGCCGCAGGTGAGTCGTGCGAACTTCGTCGTTGATGTATGCTGACGCTTGGTTCGCAGTTTCACGAGTGGAGGAGAGGACGGTTATGTTCGCGTTCACCACTTTGACCCGGAGTACTTCTCCCTTGAGTAGAAGGCAAGGATTGTATAGCAAGGCAACCTATGAACGATCGAGCATTTCAACAGCAGATTATTTTTTGACATATGCTAAGATAAGAGTATGCATTTTGATTTCTTGTAGCGTTTGAGTGAAGGACGTGTAACCAAACTCACGAGTCGTGATAACGAGATTTCTCATCTGCCCATCCTCCCTCCACGTGTTCTTCTGTCCATGTCAGCTGAACATGTGCTAGGAAGACTGCTCGTCATCTTCAGTCTCACTCGAGCCCACGTCAATAATCAAGTCTCTCTCGCGCGGAACGTTGTAGCTCTTGGACGTCAGTCCCCTGCTTGCGGAGTTAGGACAAGGCGGAACAAACAGCAAGGTAAGAAGCAGGAAGTTGCAGAAAGGGCTGCAGAGACATCAAGGGCGCGTGAGAAGGAAAGGGATGGAGACGAGGGAGGAGGAGTTGAGGCAGAGCGAATCATGATCGACCGATCTTTGACGACTTTCTCCAGGTTGGACATGATTTCAGCCATCTCGTCGTGGTACCTGACGGTTGTAAGGAAATGCCAGAGAGCAAGTGGCCATGACGCACCTGGGGCCGTCTCTGAATTCCAACCACTTCTGCATCCCATAGTCCTGGAACTCTTCGTAGACATGAATCTTGTGCTCGTCGCCTTCGATCAGATCCTGTCATGACGAGGCTATCAGTCTCTCTCGCCGGTAGCCCGCCTCTCCATCACCTCGATGTAGTATCTTGAATCCGCCAGATCCAAATCGTGCATCACCGTGTAGGCATCCTGCTCAAAGTCACACTGGAAACAAGGGAGGTGGAGAGATACGCAGATTTCATAGAAGGTCGCATTGAACTGCCTAAAAAATACTTGATAGTCAATGTCCCGGGGTTGCTGCCAAGCCTTTTCCTGCCAGCACCAGTGAATGCATTGTGAATGAAGTCTGTATCTCTACCAACACTGACAGCATCGTTTTCACCAACCATTCTTTGGTATAGATCTCTCGTTTGGCTTCATCAGAATCCAGCTCGTCATCGTCCTGGATAAAAGCTTATCACAGGCATGCGGGAACAACTCCTGACTCACATCTGGCGATTCGTTTGGATCCTCAGTCAATGAGTTCAGAACGACTTCAAACTCATCGGCAAGAGTCTCATTCCTTGGGAGGTCCTGGAATCGTAGGATGTTCCCATCACGGTCGATGATTTTCTCGAACTTGTGCTTGTTGAGCCATTCTTGATATTCCGGTGTGTCTGGCTTTGGGGCAGGCGGCAGGTTCTGCAACAGTCTTCATTCACAGTAATCCCAAGACGACATTCATGTCACCTTGAGGTATTGCCGGATCTGTTGAGCGATCCTCCTGCATTCCTTGTATCGCTCCAGTGGATCCTCGGGGAAAGATCGTCTCTGGGGGATTTCTGGGTGATACATATGGCTCTGGGATGGCAAAAAATCAATCTCTGGCAGGGCAGGTTCACTCTTTGGTGCCCTACCACGTTCTCGTGCGGATAGAAATACTTAGCGTCCAGCTCTTGAAAGTATTTCTTGGCCCTCTCTCTGTCAAGCCTGTCCTCTTCCTCCTGCGTCAGCTCTGGGTCGAGTTCCTGCTTCTGTTCAAATCTCTGCTTTGAAGAAGCCGTGGATAGCCCGAACGTTGGAGGCGGTCTCGCTTCAAAATTAGCATCACTGCACGTTCGGTCGTCGTCGTAGCCGTCCATGACCTTCTCGAGGAACAGAGGAAGCTTCCCTCGCCTCATCCTCTTCAAGTCACTGAGAGCCTCAGCTATCAGCTGCGGGTCCTGCCCTCCTCGCAGGGACAAACGGACTCTTCCATGCTCACTGGCGGCATTCGGATACATCAGACATACAAAGATGTATGTCGAGTAGAAGAGATGAGCTTGATTCGTTAAGGCTCCCATTCTTCTTTCATCGGAAATCAAAACCAAACTCGCATCTGGATCTGAACAAAATCATCAGAGGATCTCTAAGATTTTGAGAAACGAAAAATAAAATTGCATGTTAGAAGTTTTTCTAAAGGAAGCATCGCAGATTTCCAACCTTTTTCTACTTTCTCTTTTGATGATTCTCAGGCCCATCATTCTCCTTCGCACATGCTACTGTCCTCAGTATCTCCTTCCCTCCATGCTGCCTTTCCTCGCATTCTCAAAATATTGCATCCTAATCATTGCACATCATCTTGATCTGCATCATCTTCTCATCTACATCCTCGAACTCATCCTGTCGTCTGTCATCTCCCCATCACCTCTGGCGACCATCCTCAACCCCATTGCTGCATGTTCCGCCCTCCCAGTCCCAGTACAATGTTTTACTCAATTATCATGGTGGACCGCCGCTGGCTTGGACTCCGGGAGTGAGCCACCGTCCGACCCTACGGTACGGTCGCGCGTCACCACCACACGGTGGCACTCAGGGCGGCGTCACACGCGGCCCGGCCCGGTAGCCGCGCGGGCCGCGCCGGGCCGCGCCCCAGGGTTCGCGGCCGGCGTAGCCTCGGAGCGACCGTCGCCTAGCCTAGTAGGCCGGCCGGCCCGGGCGGGCGCCGCCGCGGTTCCGAGGGCCGACGCCGCACTGCACTGCGGCAGCCTGAGCCTGTGTTCCGTGGCAACTCGGCGCGGCCGGTTGAGAGTCTCCGAATTCGGCATAGCCTGTGTACGCTGGGTAGTATCGACCCCCGGGCCCCGCGGCCGAGTCAACTGGCGGTCCGAGCCGTGACTCGTGACCGTTGAACCGGCGAGGCCACGGTTTGACCGTCCGTGACTCACTGACAGCCGGGCCCCCGGGCCCGGACTCAAGTTGTTACCGTACCGTAGTACTTCCCCGCATTGAACTTAAGTTTCAACGAGTAAAACATCCAACTTCACGGCCTGAGTCATGAGAACGGGCTCGTACTGTCATTTTTAACTTAACGGAAGTTTGATCGCCGGAGTCCCGACACCGCCGCCGCCGTAAACTGAACCGGATGATACCGCCTCAGTGGCAGTGACACTGCCAGGACTCCGGGTCATCACGCCGCCGGGTTTTATAGGCCCTCGGCCCGGTAAGCCTTCGGCACAGACTCCGGGAATCCGATCCGAGCGGCGGAAGGGCCCGGGCCCGGGCCGCGGGCCGCTCAGCTAAGTTGTTCGTCCGGGAGTCCCGAGTCCCCGGCACACGGCAAGAGTCGGTGGCAGCGAAGATTCTAATGGGTTGCTTTTTTCTGTCCTCCTGAAATTTTGTAGAGAATAGTGAGGCGGGCTTGTTCTGTTCTCCCCAGGGGAGTTCAAATATAAAATAGTTTTAAACCGTCTACGACTTCAAGTTGCTCGTACCATTTTATGACCACCTTCATAATATTGACTCCTCCCATCCTACAGAAGTTGTACCACAAGTTACTATATTATTATTTAAATTTGTATCTGGTTTTAGAATTTGCCACAGTATCGTACAGATTGGGTGAAATATGTAAGGTTTTAAAAAATTGTTTTAGCTGTCGAATCCCAGCATGGCGGGTAGCGGGCAGGCGGGCGGGAGCGCGAAGAGGAGGGAGAAGGGAGAGTGAGAGTGAGAGGATGAAGGGGAGAGGACAGATTTGAGAGACAGGAATCTTGTATCGTGTGCATCGAGGAGGAAGGAAGTAGAGGAAGCGAGCGATTGAGGGTCGGTGAGTGGTCCTCCACAAAAGTGAGCAATCTCGAGCCCGGGCCCCAGCTCGCTGGTTATCATGCTGGTCGAACCTTTGCACCTCAATCTCGATCTAGTTGATCCATCTGTATCGAAACAATCGGTTATCAAGATCATCACCCTCGTGAATTCCGGAACTGCGAATGCGGCATTCAAGATTCGGACCACGGCCCGTGAGAGGTAGCTGCGGGCATGCGAGAAGTCTTTCGCTCCTTGTCTGCTGCTCTCCACATGTCCCCTTTTCATTGTCTTCATTCGATTGGACATCCATGACACCCGCTCCCTCGTTGTCTGCATGCTTGCGATCTCTAACTTCCGTCACTCGAACCTGAGCCTGGTTTCTTCCTCTGCAGGTACTCCACAACCCCCAACAGCGGACTGTTGGGGCCTGGTCAAGAATGCGATATCATTGTCACGATGCTCCCCCTCTCGCAGGAGCAGTACATTGATTTCTCTTCCACAATGTCGTGCACGGACAAGTTCTTGGTCAGAAGCTGCTTCACCGATGAGTCAGTCACGGAGGACAACGTACGAGGGGAGACGGCGGCGTCATGGTGGAACTCTCGCCCCAAGTCAGAGCTCACAGATCAAGTCATCACATGCAGTTACATCAGACAAGCCACTCGGGTGGAAGTTGGGCAATCCAAGTTGAGGTTCCAGAAGGAACGATCCCCACACAAGATGGTGGGGACGTCGCGAGTTCTTGCCGAGGAGGTTGGTCCGAGCACATGCCTCGCCCTATTCCTCGCACGCTCATGTTTGATGTGACATGGGATGATGTAGATACTGGTGCTGCTCAACAACACAAGGCAAAGACAGGCTTTCAAGATCCGCACAACGGCACGTGACCGATATCGGTGAGAGTTGGTGTAACCTGTCTCAGCGCTTACAAGCTCACTCCAGCGTCGAGCCCTCATGCGGAATCGTTGAGAGCGGGCAAAAGTATTCAGTTCGCATCTCGATGGTTCAGGTTTGACCTGTTCGGGATAGTTGTGACTCGCTCGTGACTTTCACCATTTCAGCCACGTGGGGTCACCAGTGACAAGTTCCAGGTGAAGAGGATTTGATCCTTGAAGGATCTGTTCTTGACAAGATTGCAGGTCCGATGTGTAGTAGCAGACGCAGACACAGATGAAACTCAGATCAAGAGGTGTGTTGCGTCTAGTTGCTCACCCTCGCGACCTCGCAGTCTTTTCAGTGGTTGACCGATGCTGTAGGAACGAATGGTGGGCGGAGCCGACTATCAAGTCTAAGCTTTATGATACGACACTAGACAGGTAGCTAAGACCGTTGTCGGTCCCATTCTTCTCGTCTTGCGATGATCGGCACAGTTTGACATGTTTACAGCATTTACATCTCCGATGCCGACGAAGAGAATGTACTCATTTGTCGTTAGAAGATTCCGTCTTCATATTGACATGTACCTTACAGATATCAGACAAGAACCGAGGAAATGGCTATCTGGACTTGAAGAAGACTGAACCTGCTACGACTCTGGCCGTCTTGCCAACGGATTCGAGGTGAGCTTGTCCTGTCACTTCGATAGTTTCTGACGAGGTTCCAGCATCAACGCTGACGAGGGTTCATACGATGCCCTTCTGAAGGTAACTTGCTCGAATCTCTTGGATCACCTCTTGACGCTGTTTGCAGATTGTGCTTGTGGGCGACTCGGATGTGGGAAAGACAAGCTTGTGAGACATGGCTGCCTCGGTTTGCTCGATCACTGTGCCTGATGCTCGGATTCAGGTTGACTCGATTCTCCGATGATAACTTTTCCAACTCCTTTATCTCGACCATCGGTGTGGACTTTCGTTGGAGGACTGTAAGGACGGCCTGACGTCGAGGTGCCCTGCGCTCATCTGGACCGGCAGATGTCAATAAAGGACAAGAACATCAAGTTGCAGATTTGGGATACAGCTGGCCAAGTGAGAGAATATCACTCTGACAAGTTTGTTTCCATACTCATGAGAGATTCCAGGAGAGATTCAGAACGATCACAAGTGCATACTACCGCGGGGCTGGTCAGTAACGTTGATCTCTACTCTTTTTCTTCCACTGATGGACGCGCAGACGGGATTGTTGTCGTCTACGACATCACCAACAAGTGTGCTGCCGCCTTTGACAGGGTTGAAACTGACGCTCGTTGGCTAGGGAATCTTTCGATCACGTGGACATGTGGATGAAGGAGATCCACAAGTTCACAGACGATAACCACGTACCTTGACACCCCTTCTCCGCGTCCTACCTGACGTTTTCTCAGGTCCGGGTGCTCGTGGTTGGCAACAAGTGCGACATGGAAGAGAAGAGAGAAATCCCAACGTCTCTTGCTCGGGCAAGATGGGGAGGAGGAGAGGCTTCGCGGATGTGACAGGGGACACAGGAATATTGTAACCAACGAGGTATGAAGGTGGTCGAGACTTCTGCCAAGACTGCGACCCGGTTCGGGCAGCTGTTCCACTCTTGGAATGTCAGCGTGACATGTTTGTTGAAGAGTGAACACTGCTTTCATCGACATGGCGGAGGAAATTCTGGAAAATCGACAGAAAGTGAGGAGAGGACGTGCATGACAAATCTCTAAACCTCCTCTGGCAGTTTGCCGAGAACAAGCCCAAGGAGCTGGACTACAGTGGGGAAACAAGGTTCTTCTGTCCTCCTCCCCCTCCCCCTTCCCCCCTTTCCACCTCCCCCTTCGATCTGCTCCTCCTCGATCTGCTCCTCGATCTGTTTTTCCTACCACCTTGCCCTTTTCGCTCTCCCTCGTGCTATTTTCAGTATTATCGGTGACTGAGGTTACAGCTTGAATCAAGCGTCGCAGAGCTGTGAAGGAATCATGCAAAGTTGCTTTGCCTTCATCAAGTCAGTTTCCTTCACTTCTCTTCAATCCTTCCCTCTCCACGTCTTGTCGCCTCTCTTCTTCGCTTGGCTTCACCTTTCCCTATCCTCACTATCTCACGTCGTCCCTTCGCTTCTCTGCTCTCCTCCCTCCCCGCTCCTTATAACTCTATTTCTACTCCTTCCTCTCTATCTACTCCTTCCTTGACCTTTACCTGTGCATCTCTCATGGATGGTTCTCCCAGGGGAAAGGCAGGTTTCGGTCACACAAGCTACGGCAAACAGATTTGAAAGAAAGAGGAGGGAGGACTGAAGAGGAACTTGAAATTTTCTGAGCTAGAAAGAGAAGATCTTGCTTGTTATCTTTTCTTTCTCTCCATCATCCTCTTCACTTGCCAGTACACAACGAAGACTATCACTTGTGCTGCTTCCAACAGGTTGAGGCCATGAAGACTCTAGATGCAGAATCAGTCCAGCTAGGCACTAGCTGAGGCACAGCTGACCTTCCAGATGTCGACGTTGCCTCCTCTTACTTGGAGGAGGGAGGAGAGGAGAGGGCCTTGAGGGAGACTTGATACTTTGGAGAGGACCAGGGGATGCGTGCGAGCTGCTCGTAGTGTCACCTCCTCCCTCCCTTGTACCTTCCTCTCCTCCTGGCCAGGCCCATCCCCCTCCCCATCCCTTCTTGGTCCTTCTGCTTCCAGCATCCACCTTCTCCTTCTCCTACTCCTACTCCTACTCCTCCCTCCTCCTCTCCCTCCCTTCTTAGTCCTCTTCCTCACTCCTCCTTCCATCTTAGTCCTCTCTGCACTTCACTTCCCACCTGAGACAGGAAAGCTCTCCACAAGCTGCAGGAGGGGAAGGGAGGAGCCTGTGGTGGAAGTTGAGACGAAGGCTCATCTTCGCAGCAGCACCTTGATGGAGGAAGTCGAGGAGCCAGAGGAGAAGAGCTCTTCTTCCTTCGTCACTGACAGGGCAAGCGATGTCCTTCCTTTCCTCCTCATTGCTGAGCAGCCGCAGCGCCTGGAGGAATCTACTCCTTTGCCTGATAGTCCTCTGCTTCTGCAACGCGCGGATGTCTGGAGGAGGATGAGAAGGAGGTGGAGAGGAGGCAGCGAAGCAGGAAGAGGAGGAGAGGAAGCATGGAAGAGGGGGTAGGAGCAGGAGCAGGAGGCAGGGCACAACGGGAAGAGGAGGAGCAGAGAAGCAGAGGAGCAGAGGGGAGGGGGTTGAAGTGGAGGAGGGCAGGGGAGGACATTTTGGTACCTTGCTCTACGTTGGTCTGGACAGTATCGAGCATCTTCGCTTCATGCCCCTCACCTGCTTCCTCCTGTCAATCTCAGCAGGAGGAGGGGAAAGGATACGAGACCCCAGGGAACAGAGAGGATGGCGAGCAAGAGTCGCTGCACCTCCTCTCCCTCCCCCTGCCACTCCATCCTGTCGTTTAGCATGTCCTCCCCCAGCCAGACCGTCCATAGCACTGCACAAAGTTTCAGATACCTTCTCCATCCTCCTCCTCGTCCGCCTTTTCCTAAGAACTCCCCCAACCTTTCCCTCCCTTCCATCCTCCTCCTCCTCCTCCTCCTCTCCCTCGTCCTCCTCCTCCTCCTCCTCCTTCTCTCCCTCCTCCTCCTCCTCTGCTTCCTTGGAGAGGGAAGGGACGGTAGCGGCCACTGTTCCACTCCTCGAGGTGTCTCCTGTTGTCTGCCAGGTGACGCGGGCGGACAATCTTGTGAGTGACGTGGGCGATGTTGGAGCTGGAGGCGAGCATGAGCGAGTGAGAGACGCGGAATGAGGGGAGGAGGAGAGGGCGTGAAAGGGAACATACGGTACAAGATTCGGTTTGAGTGCGATAGAGGATGGAGGCGACAAAAGAAACAAGACGAGAAGGGAGGAGAGGAGGGAGAGAGAGGAAGGAGAAGATCAGGAGGGAGAGGAAGAGAGGAGTGGAGTGGAAGGCAAGCAGGGGGCATCAGGAGAGGAGGGGAGTGAGCTGGAGGGGAAAGACCTCTCCTCTAGAATGATCTCCAGCATGCTGCTCCTTCCTTCTGCAGACAGGTCGATCACCTCCCGCTTCTTGGTTTCCTCTGCGACTGAGTGAGCTGGGATAGCGGGGAGCGGAGATACCCGAGGCGACGCTTCTCACGGTCATGCTCCGTTCGAGGACGAGGATGCGTCCTGGGGGCCAGGTGAGGGGTCAACTGGGGTCCAGCTGAAGTCACTGGAAGGGTGCAGCTCGTTCCAGAAGCTCTCCAAGTCCTTCATGCTCGTCCACTCCGCGTCCTGCAGGCCGTCACGTCCGGCAACCCCAGCAGCAGCCCAGCACTTGGCCAGATAGCAAGTTCCCTAGCGCCGCAGCGACCGTCCTCCTGCTGGGCTTTAGCTCGTAGGAGGCGCCGCAGGGGGAGGAGGAGAGGTAGGTGCAGCCTGCGAGCTCCTGACAGAGCTCGAACCATGAGGAGGAACAGCGAGTGTCTGTGGCCGTCGCCTCCTCCCTGCCAGCAGCTCAGGAGCTGTGGAGGAGGTTGGGGGGCAGGTGGGGGACCTGAAGAAGGAGAGGAGACGGGGGGAGGAGGAGGGAGGGAGGAGGGAGAGGGAGAGGCTGTTGCTGTCTGCGTCAAAGAGCAGAAAGTCCACCACCTCTCTCAGCACGAGCTCGACGCAGTCCGGGACTTCAGCCCCATCCTTGTACCTGTGCCTGCTGGACCTCATCATGGGCTTGAAGGTCTGACTGGTAGCAACGCTCGCTGCAAGGAGCTCCAGGGAGGAGGAGGAGAACAAGGAGGAGGACGAGGACGAGGATGAGGACGAGGAGGAGGAGGACGAGGAGGACGAGGACGAGGAGGAGGAAGGGAAGGTTTTCTCGTCCAGCAGCAGCTCAGCTGCACGCGCCACCTGCGAGGCCCCGAGCTCGTCGATGGAGAAGCTCAACATGGTCCACTCGTCCTGGAAGGCTCTGTCGTGCTGGAGGAGGAGGAACTCCGGTCGTAGGACGAGCACATGCGCGTTGAGAGCGAGGAGGAAGTCGAGTAGGCACCTCCTGCTCTCCGCCCTCTCCCACAGGAAGCGAAGGAAGAGGAGGAGGATGAAGGGCCTCGACGGCCGCACGAGGCCCTCGGAGAGCACGCGAACGATCTCTGTGTACCGAGCAAGCGACACTCCCGTCCTTATCCCCTTCACTCGGTTGCTGCGGATGCCACAGCCCTCCAGCACGCTCTTCACCTCCTCCTCACTCGCTCGAGCTGCTGCGAGCCCCAGCATGTGGCCGATGGCTGCAGGGTCGAGGTGGTAGGCAGCCATGGACGGGGAGCGAACGGCCCGGAGAGGAAGGGAGGCGTCCCTTCGGTGGAAGAGGAGCCTGCTGAGCTTGAACGCCTCCACCAGCTCTCCTCCAGCACAGCTGAAGCTGTACAAGTTGGCGATCAGAGCATGTGAGTGATACCCTAGGAGCCCAAGTGCAGGAGAGAAGCCGACGGCCTCCGGCTGAAGGACCATCATGGTGCCCCTGACATAGGAGGCGGGAAGGGCAAGGGAGCGCTGCTGGAGGACGTGGAGCAGAGTTGGCCTGCAGCATCTGGACAGACGATGAGCGACGATCGCAGGGAAGGAGAGGACTGCGGCTGTTCCCTTCATCTCCCCTTTGACATCTGCCGCTCCTCCTCCTTCTCTTGCTCACCCCGTCGCTTTCAACATCTCAGTCGTGTCCAGGAGCGATGCAAGAAAAGGAATGGCGACGTCAGCGATGAGAGCAGAGCAAGATCATGTTGTTGATGTTGGGTCAGAGTCAACTCTCGAGACGGATGAGCTCGTGTCAGGTCGGTTATGGTCAGACTTCTTGGTTGCAAAGTTAGCACTGGATCGTTTATTGTATCGTTGATTTCCTACTTTCTCTCCTCTCATCTCATCTCCTTTCCTCTCATCTTCTCTCATCTCCTCTCCTCTCCTCTAATCTTCTCTCATCTCCTCTCCTCTCCTCTCCTCTCATCTCATCTGAGCATTTGGTAAGAACAAGGTCACGATCTAACTCAACTTCAGCAGAAGATTATGTTGCAGAGTTAGTAAAAGGTAGATGAGCAGTGTAAACAAGTGAGACAAATGCTCAACTGATGCAATTGAATGCGACGATCACATTCCTTACAATCACCTTTCTCCGCGCCCAATCTCGTCATCATCATCATCATCATCATCATCGTCATCGTCATCGTCATCGTCATCGTCATCATCATCATCATCATCATTATCATCGTCATCGTCATAAAGTTGTTTCGTCATCATACAGAACAACCACCTAGCCTCTGAGATGAGCACAAAACAGATTAGAAGCAGCCGCAGGGGCAAGGGCAACAGAATCCGCAAGAGCAACAGCAGGAGGAGCAAAAGGAGTAGGGAAGGGGGCAGGGGCAGGGAGAGCAGGAGCAGGGGCAGGGAGAGCAGGGCAGCAGGAGCAGGAGCAGGAGCAGGAGCAGGAGCAGCAGGAGCAAAAGGTGCAGGAGCGGGAGCGGGAGCAGGAGCGGGAGCAGGAGCGGGAGCAGGAGCGGGAGCAGGAGCAGGGGTAAGAGGAGCAGGAGCAGGAGCAGGGGCAGGAGGAGCAGGAGCAGGAGCAGGAGCAGGGGCAGGAGGAGCAGGAGCAGGAGCAGGAGCAGGAGCAGGGGTAGGAGGAGCAGGAGCAGGAGCAGGAGCATCAGCATCGGCAGCATCAGCTTGTATGATTCCTGGGATAACTCCGGTGGTGGTCGCTTCTACATTGCAGAGCAATCTGTCTGAATGAGGGGTGGTTTTCAATACAATAGAGGGGGTGGGGTAGCCATCACCGCAATGGCTTGAGGGGAGGGGAGGGGGGTGATTGGAGGACAGAGGACAGAGGAGAGCAGGAGAGAGCAGAGGAGAGCAGGAGAGAGCAGGAGAGAGCAGAGGAGAGCAGGAGAGAGAGAGAGGAGAAGGGGAGAAAGAAGGAAGGAGGAGAGTGCAGGGTGGACCGGACTCATTGGGAACAAGATGAAGGGAGGGGGACGAGGACCGGGAGAAGGGTCGAGCTGGAGCAGCATGAGACATCCGAGCGCGCGGCAACTCTGAGAGAGCATGAGGAGGTGGTTCACGGGAAAGGAGCGAAGCCGCCTGAACAGGACAGCACCCTGTCCCAGGGCAGGCAGAGCATCTCATCTGATGCAGATCTCGAGAGCGGCGACTTGACGCACACACTGCAAGAGGAGCAGGGGACCAAGTCCAAGACCAAGAAGTCAGTCCTGAGCTCGACATGGCGGAAGCTCCGCCGCAGGTCGCCCAAGGACAAGGCAGGCCAGTCCTCTCCCGCCAAGGAGACGCCAAAGGAAGGTGCCGGCGGCGCGGGAAGGCGATCAAAGAGCACATCCAAGGTGGAGGAGGGAGGAGGGACATGCTGAGGGCTGACAGCCGGGCAGAAGAAGAACAGGAAGGAGGAGGCTGAGCCATCGCAAGTTTCTCCTGAGCTCCTGCAGATGGTAGAAAGCAAGTGGGTCGAGCGCTTTTCACGCTGCCTCAGGTGAAGTACCTCGGGATTCAGGAGCATGAGAAAGAATTCTTTTGGGTCGCAGAAGAAGCTCTAAGGTAAGGAAGAGGAGTAGGAAGAAGAGAGAAAGGAGGGGGCGAGGGGAAGGGAGGAGGAGAGAGGGGTGGGAGAGAGAGGAGGGGTCCGGGGGGGATGGAGAGAGGGGGGAGAGAGAAAGGAGGGGCGGGGGGATGGAAGGGAGGAGGGAATGAAGGAGGAGCAGCATCGGCAACATGGGCAGATTGAGGAGCAGGAGTAGCAGGAGGAGGAGAAAGACGAGGAGGTAGTCAAGAAATGTAGAACTTCTCCTGATTTTCATGTTCCGCAGAGCCACTCTACCGGAAGGCTGGGAGGAGTACAAGACAGGTGAGGAGGAAGGGGGGTTTGAAGCAGCAGCTGGAAGAGAAGGGGGAGGGGGGAGGAGCAGGAGGAGCAAGAGGAGGAAGTAATGGGTTGCTGACTCTCGAGGCAGAGGAGGGAGCTACATACTACTTCTCTTCTATCTCGGGGTATGAAGAGCTCCTGACGTTGATCGTGCTGGCTGTGACCGTCCTGTAACTGCAGGCAGTCGTCCTGGGAACATCCTCTTGACGATTATTTCCGGTCTGAGAGCTCATCTGAGCTGATAGTTGTTGACACCTCCTGCTCCTCCCCTCTTTCTCCTGCTCCTGCTCCTTCACTCCTGCTGCTCCTGCTGCTCCTGCTGCTCCTGCTCCTGCTCCTGCTCCTGCTCCTTCACTCCTGCTGCTGCTCCTGCTCCTGCTCCTGCTCCTGCTCCTGCTCCTGCTCCTGCTCCTGCTCCTGCTCCTGCTCCTGCTCCTGCTCCTGCTCCTGCTCT